ACCCCATATCTGAAAATTGAGCTTCTGATGATTGACAGCAGCGGAGTGATGAAACTAGATTACATGCTGGAGTGAGGTTTGAATAATCAACCTCCAGAATCAGAGGAATGCATTAGATTTCTGAACAAATCCAAATGACATAAACCTTTTCTTCAATTCAATACTAAGTTATTTTATGGCATGGTCTCAAAACACTTCACTACAGATTACCATCTTTACCTGGTGCAGCTCGGTGGCATTTTTTTCCTTTCTCAAACCATAAAAGGCAATAAGCACAGTTAAAATCACTTCACTGACAACTTGACTTGGGGTTGAAGTGCATAAGCCACAAGTTCATTCATCACTTTTAATCTGTATTATCTTACAAACTCAACTATATTAAAAATTATTTACTTCCTTAACTGAGATGGTGGTAAATGCTCATCACATATTAGCATTGGAAGCATTATGAATTTCAAACTATGAACTGGTACTTGAAATGAAAGGGCAGTTAACTTATCAACTTACTAACAGTTACTTATGAAACCAATCTTCCTGCAATTTCATGAATAGCCTACATAAAATGTAATATACCACGGTATTATTGTTTGAAAAGACTTCCAGTTATTGAATTGATTTCTTTTCAAATAATATTCTTTGAAACAAATAAAATTAGTCCTTATAGATTTTCAACTAAGCCAACCTCCCATAAATATTAACAATGTTTTTAAACATCTTGAAAAACAATAAATGAAATTTCCCATAATGAAAACTAACTCAGTTGTTAAATGACACATTATCAGAACTTTAATGTTCACAAATATTAAAGTTGGGGAGTTAACAGAGCACCAGACACAGGCACACACAGAAAAGAAACAGACAGCAAGACTGCAGAGGGGGACAGCTCCTTCAGCCATAAATTAGCACCACAGAAGTACAAGTTCCACAAACAGTTAAGCAGTACAAGATATTACAAGTAAAATTGAAGCTTATTTTGGACAAGGAACAAGTTTTGAATATCAACAAAATGTGTAAAGTTGTATTAGAACAACAGCCAAATAATTTGTGAAGTTGTTGGTGTCAGTTACGGTAATAATATATATACTGACCATATTATTCTACACTAATTACAAGTGACAGATCAACTGATGGTCATATCATAATTAATATTTAACCACAGATATGAATACACAAGAACTGGAAGATATTAATTACCCATCACAAAAGAGACATGCTCCTATTGCCTACCAATATATTTTTTAAGTAGTGTGAATCCAAGATTATTCAGTTATTTCACCTCAAAACTCAGACCGTTATCAATTACTTGAAATTTGTTTTTCCAGAGTATGATATCTGAAAATCTTAATGATGGCATCAAACTTGCAAGTGTTCCAGTGTAGTACAACATCCTGCAACAACTCTCTCAAAATGTGTGCACTAATTAAGTATCACATCATTTACTAATTAAAAATGCCATGACATTGCATAAAAATTTAAGAGGTTGCACAACTTTTAAACGACTGTAGAAAATGTTCCAATTATTTTCTGGAACAACTGCTTTTAAAACCATGACAAGATTTGTTTCATCTCACCGCTTCCTGATTTTCAAGTCTCACATGGCCAGTGGAATCTCAAAAATAATCTTAACCAAAGATTTAATAACAAGATTTTTTTTAGAAACCAAATTGACATTTTACAATTCTTTGATTCTCTGAATCCTGCTGGCAACTCAACTGTTGATACCAAGTTGAGTGAATTGACACATCTGATCTGACATTTTGAATGCAGAAATAGTTTAACTTACACTAATTATAAATGCGAGAAATGCTTCTGATACAAGTAAAATCTCACAGTTTATACCACATGGTTATCTAGATGCCAAATCTACACCTGGGAAGCCAGAATAGTGTCTTTTTTTTGGTGAAGTAGGATGAGAATAATTGGACTAGAGCATGCAGGCATTATTCAGACCCATCAACTCAGATTACAGGTAAATAGAAATACTGAGAAGCTTAGAAGTAGAACCAGTTTGATTGAGCGTGGGTATTTCTTTGCATTATAGAGTGAGGAGCTAAGAAACACAAAGCTAAGTGTCCAAGAGGTACATTGAAGATGGCCACAAAAAATTCAATGTTTAAAACTCACCCCAAAGTTTAATGTTTAGTTGTAGGCAAGAATATTTTTCATCCCTGAAACCAGTAAAATGTCCAAGTTTTGTAACCTATTTCCTACCATTTCAACAAATGCTTTGATTCTCCACTAAGACGTGCAGGTGGAGCTCACCTCATGAGCAAGCCACAATTGTAGTCGGCAACTTATCTGAACTTGGAAGGTACTGCATTGAAGCCCTATCTTTACTGAATACCCACACAGTGGATTTTCAAGAGAGATCACTAGATAACAATAAGTAAGTAGAATGATTGATTTTTCCCTCCATAACACAAAGAAGCTTCTTGAAACACCCCTTTGCTGTTCATCTAATGCTAATCATCTCGCTCAGCTAGGATGGAACCTGCTTGTACGCTTGCCTTTATTGGTCAATGCATTGAGTATAGGAATTGGGACATCATGTTGCAGCTGTGCAGGACATTGGTTAGGCCACTTTTGGAATACTGTGTTCAATTCTGATCGCCCTGCTATAATAAGTGATATTGTGAAACTTCTAAGGGTTCAGAAAAAATTTATTTGGATGTTGCCACAGTTCGAGGGCTTGAGCAACAGGGTGGGACTGAATAGGCTGAGGCGGTTTTCCCAGGTGCATCGGAGGCTTGGGGTGACCTTATAGAAGTTTATAAAATCATGAGAAGCATGGATGGGGTAAATAGGCAAGGTCTTTTCCACAGGATAAGGAGTCCAAAACTTTACGGCAGAGGTTTAAGGTGAGAGGGGAAAGATTTAAGAAGGACCCAAGGGCTGACTATCAGGCAGAGGATGGTACATATATGAAATGAACTGCCAGAGGAAGTGGTGGAGGCTGGTACAATTCAGCATTCAAAAATGCATCTGGACAGGTATATGAATAGGAAGGATTTACAGGAATATGGGCCAAATGCTAGCAAATGGGACTAGATTAATTTAGGCTATCTGGTCTGAATGGGCGAATTGGATAAAGGATCTCTTTCCATGCTGTACAGCTCTTTGACTCTAAGTATTTTGGAAATGGGCATTTTTAAAACCCCTCACTAGGCTGGAGTTCCAGTACACCCAAGCTGAAGATCAAGTTTTATGAGCCAACTACTACAGAATTTCTCTCATCTCAGCTCTAGTGATTTGGGAAGCTAGATCAGGACATCTTTGCTCGCTTCACAATCAAATGCATTGAAAACTATTCTACATCAGCAAGTATGATAACACAATGCAAGTGTCAAAAATATGTCAGATAAAGAGAGTTAAAATTGGGCATGTTATTTTTGATCATCAAAACTGGCAAATGTTTTCATGTTTCAAATTACAAACTAAATAAAGAATTTCAGGGCCACAAACTATAGGTCAATTAGAAAACCAGTGAATTTATATCTTTTTGCTTGTTCCATTCTCTGAATAAAAGTACTCACTTGTTTAAGACTTTGGTACTACTCAGGTCAGCTACCAAGAGATTAATAAATTGGAAACTATTTATCCAATTTGCCCTATTTTTTACGAGGAGAAAAAAAGGTTAAACTTCCATTCTCCAGGCAAGCCAATATTCCAAAGAAATGCTTTCCAGGGATTGTGGACACAAACAAACAGGTTCCCAGCACCTGACTTTAAGTTGTAGCAGCTGTCAAAAACTGTCACTACTTTAAAAAACAAAAGCCTAAAAGCTACTAAATTGATTTTCTCCCATGATATCAATTTTGCTCATTTACCTCTTAAAAAACCTTGGACTACTATTGCCTGGAAGCAAAGAGCATTCTGATCATACTAAAATGTAAAAACCCAAAAAGTTACTGTACAGCACAAATTATTTAAAATAAACTAGATATAGAAACTCTAGTGGCAGCATAGTTGTTGGTCACTGTTGTCCCCAAAGGATCCATCACTAGAAGCTAGAAGACAATTTTTTAAATTTCTAATGTTGTTTAGTTCTCAGTTTTATTGCAGCAGCTTGGGTTGAGTTCCTAGACTGAGTTTATAATTTCCTTTTAAATACTTCTCATGAATTGGAGTAAAAGTGTTTCAGATCTGTTCAACATATTTCAGAAACTGTAGCTAAAAAAAGTGCTCTTGCTGCTCATCAGAGCTCGCATTAAAAATTAATCATCAGAGCTCGCATTAAAAATTATGTTGAAGGAAGAGAAAGAGAATAACAGTATTGTACTGGATTCAGGCAACATATCTACACCAAGGGCTGTACATTTTAGGAAAAAGCCAACACGATATAATAGACTGATGTTCAGAAACAGCAAGATAGTTCCAATATGGGACACTTATGCAGTGCTTCAGTCTATGAAAAAAACTAAAGTTCCCAGGCAATTGAAGATAGTGTCCTAAATAAACTACAGTTTAAAGGCAATCAAATAAATACGTTGTTGCATTGAATAATAAAATTGACAAATATGCCAACTTGTTTAAAAATCACTGCAATAATAAGAAAATTGCTGATTCACTATAACATCGACATGAGGGGAGCTGTAACATCTGTCTTCAATAGTAGCTTTCAGACGTATAACCACAGCGACCACATCACAAGACGACCGCAAAAATGCAAGTCCCTGAGATTTAACCCCCGGCCCCTCCTACAGCAAAGTCCCGACCAGCAAAATGCACTGCATTTTAAAAATCTGGAGTAACTAAATAATTAAAATGCATGCATCAATTCACCGAGAGTCCAATGGACAAAATCAAGGCCAAGGGCGTTATCTGGGGCCTGGTACCGCAAGAAAACTAGACACTTTCCCCTAATAACACACACGGCCGCGGCACCAACTTCGATCTCATCCTGTTCGGGTTAAAATTTAAACCCAGGAACCAGGATAGCAGCGGCTGGGTCGGGACGCGCTTTCATTTTTCACTCTGAGAATGTGTAAGGAAGTGCTTACAATCTAGGTGCTTCTTCTTGGGGCCCATAATCTCGTGTGTGGTGGCTTTACAAACGGTTTTAGAGACGGCCGAGCCGGTGACACTATGCTGAGCCGCAGCAATACGGTCCGTGATACTCTGTCCCGACATCTTCCCTCCTCGCCAGCAGCAGATTCACGCACAGAGGGGGTTTAAATCCCTCTCACGGAGCCACCCCGGCCAAGCAGATCAAGAAGAAAGGTTAGAAATAAAAATACACACAACCAAAAACAAGAAAAAGTAAACTGAAAACCCAGGAAGGAAAAGCCCTGAGCGGGACGGGCTGCTCCAAGCTTTTCTAATTTACAGGCGGTCACTTGGGCAGCTGTCGCCACCCAGGGTTCAAATCCTCTTTCTTCCTCTGCCGAAAAGGAGCAGGAGTTCCAGGAAAATGGCGGGTTTGAACCAGGCTCCTACCCACTGGATCGTTATCATGTGATCATCCACCAACCTCGTACCAGTCTGAGCCCCATCAGCCAGTCCCAGAATCTTTCTCCGACAGCCCAGCCTGACACCACTGTTGCTTCCAGCAAAATTTGCCCCTCCCTTGTCTGCCTCTGCCAGATGAGAGGCTTTTTTTCGTTTCTATTCATGCATCTGGATTTATGTACATCTGTCTACACGTGTACAGTTTTTTTTGCACACGACCAGCTTCGTACAGAATACAGATCGCACACTGAAGATGATTGTCTTGAAGATGCTTACCTTTTCTTCGAAAACCAAATGATTAGTTGGTTGAATTTGTTTTCCATATTAAGTAATTTTCAGGATTTTCAAATGTTTGCCGTTTATTCATGGAATGAATTGACAGCTGAAATGGAATACTTAAACTCAACAGCTAAGACTTGAACGAAAATTTTGCTTCGAATGGAAAACATGTTTGTATTCAGAAATTAAAAGATACGTAAATAAAATCATCAGTTGCGATTGTGAAAGTTTACACCTACTCAGATTTATGAAATTGCCTAAAAAACTCGTTTAACAGTTTTTAAAACACTGGCTATGTTAACAATTCTCAGACCAGAGCAGGGGTTCACAATTTTCTTTTCCTTCTGAGCCACCCCCACCATGCTATTACATGTAAAAAAAAGGCCACTGATCACCTGTAACACAATACAAGTACATTTTCTGTTTAGAAATTCAGACGAGGATGTTCATCATTACTTTTGTTTTTCTTACACCTCGACTGATATCCTCTAATCTTTCCTATTTCTTGGGCTAAGATTCTCTCTTAACAGTTGTACTAAGCAAAGATTCTTCATATAATTATGCTTCCAATTTTAAAGTACTTTAAAACAACTGCTTTTTAAAATGTAAGTTATAAATACAATATTGGGCACACTTCCCAATAGAACAACAGGTGGTAATTCAATTTGGGGTTGGGAAGAGTGAAATCTCACCCGCAGATGGAAGTATGGAGAATTCAGAATGGCAAAGGTAACATGGACATGGAGAGAATTGTGCTTGTAGTGTCACCCTGATTGCCACAACTGGCATCTTCTGGTATCTGCCAACTCTGCCATTCTGTGGTTCAAATTAAGAGTATTTTGAGATGGTTCACTACCATCAATTCCCTTTGTCTATACTTCATCAAGGACCTATCAAATGATCACTGGTAGAGGTTATATCAGATAAAGTGTCCGTACAGAAGAGGCACCGTTCTTTGTTCACAAGATGGTTTATTGCATGATAGTAATAAGTACAAGACCATAAGACGTAGGAGCAGAAGTAGGCCATTCAGCCCATTGAGAATGCCCAAACTTTCAATGAAATCATGGATGATATGGTGATCCTCAGCTCTACTTTCTTTCCTGTTGCCCATAGCCCTTGATTCCCTTCCTGATCTTGCACATGTACATGTTTTTGGCAGACATAATGAAACCTATTCAAGGAAGCCCCGAGGATGTTATTGGTATCAGATTGAGAAAACCTACTCGAGAGATCCATTTTCCACAAGTATGTATTTTCTACAAAAGGGTCTGGCATAGTTTATTTAAGCTTTGGCAGCCTAGCACATCCAGTAAAGAATGGTCAGGATCAAGCTGCAGGAGCCCTGTGAACAATTGTAATTTCAACTATGGACATGGAAGCTAGGGAGCCCCAGGAAATAAATACTGACATCTTGAAAAGTGTCCATTTTAAAGAAGAGAAGGTGCCAGAGGTCTTAAAAATGCATTATGATAGATAAATCTTCAGGACCCAATCAGGTGTATCCCAGAACTTTGTGGGAAGCTAGGGGAGAGATTGCTGGGACCTTTCCTGAGATACTCACATCATTGACAGCCACAGATGAGGTGCCAGAAAACTGGAGGGTGGCTAATGTGATGCCATTTCTTAAGAAAGGTGATAAGAAAAAGCCAGGGAACTATAGATCAGTGAGCCTCTTGTCAGTAGTGGGTAAGTTGTTGGAGGGGATTCTGAGAGAAAGGATTTACATGCATTTGAAAAGGCGAGGACTGATTACAGAGAGTCAGCATGGCTTTGTGCATGGGAAATCATATCTCACTAATGATTAAGTTTTTTGAAAAGCTGATAAAGAAGATCAATGAAGGCAGAGCGGTACACGTTGTTTATATGGACTTCAGCTAGACATTTGACAAGGTTCTGTGTGGTAGACTGATTAGCAAGGTTAGATCACATGGAATCCAGGAAGAGCTAGCCAACTGGCTATAAAATTGGCTAGAAGGTAGGAGACAGAGGCTGGTGGTAGAGGTTGTTTTTCAGATGGAGGCCTGTGACTAGCAGTGTGCCGCAAGGGTCAGTGCTGCGTCTATTGTTTTTCATCATTTATTTAAATGATTTGGGTGCAAATATAAGAGAATGGTTTGCAAATTTGCTGATGACACCAAAATTGGTGGTGTAATGGAATGTGAAGAAGGTTACCTCAGAGTTCAAAGGGAGTTTGATTGGATGGGCCAATGAGCAGAGGCGTGGCAGATGGAGTTTAATTTAGATAAATGTGAGGTGTTGCACTTTGGTAAGGCAAACCAGGGCAGGACATACACAGTTAATGGTAGGGCCCTGTGGAGTGTTGCTGAACAAAGATACCTAGGAATGCAGGTGCAAAGTTCCTTGGAAGTGGAGTCGCAGCTAGACAGGGTAGGAAAGAAAGTGTTTGGCACATTTGTCTTTATGGGTCAGCGCATTGAGTATAGGAGCTGGGACATCATGTTGCAGCTGTACGGGACATTGGTTAGGCCACTTCTAGAATACTGCATTCAATTCTGCTCTCCCTTTCACAGGAAGGTTGCTGTCAAATTTGAAAGGGTTCAGAAAGGATTTACTAGGATGTTTCCAGGATTGTTGGTTTTGAGCTATAGGGAGAGGCTGATTTTTTCCTCTAGAGCATTGGAGGCTGAGGGGTGATCTTATAGAGGTTTATAAAATCATGAGGGGCATGGTTAGGGTGAACAGCCAAGGTCTTTTTCCTAGGGTAGGGGAGTCCAAAACTAGAGGGCATAGGTTTAAGGTGGGAGGGGAAAGATTTAAAGAGGACCTGAGGGGCAAACTTTTCATGCAGAGGGTGGTGTGTGTATGGAATGAGCTGCTAGAGGAAGTGGTGGAGACAGGTACAATTACAACATTTAAAAGGCATCTGGATGGATAAATGAACAGAAAGGCTTTAGAGGGAAGTGGGCCAAATTCTGGCAAATGGGACAAGATCAGAATAGGATATCTGGTTGGCATGGACGAGTTGGACCGAAGGGTTTGTTTCTCTACTGTGTAACTCTAACACTCTACAAGTCTATGGTAAATATCAACTTGTGAGTGTAAGATATAAGACTAAAGAGTTTTTGAGTGTTTTCAGCCAAAAAATACCAAGGGGATAACAATTCCCAGATTTCCACCATATAATGGTGTGTCAGTATCCAACCAAGCTGGTTCATTCCAAGTACCATTAAGAAATATATGAGTACACTGGGTGCAATAACTCCACAGAGGCTGGTATCCCCCATCACTAAGTGACCCTTTATTTCCACATGCATAGTGCTTGACAGTGGTATGGCTTCCTCAGGGCCAGCTCTCAGACTGAACAGAACTTCTGACACTCCTGTTTATATTTGTCAGCGAAGGATCCCTGATTGAACCAGACTAACAGCCCCAATGAAGGAACTCATATTCTATGAGTTCACACCTGGCTGACCTTGTTATAATCACTACAGTGGGCATATCAAAGGATTTGGATGCTGATAATATTCTGGCTGTAGCAATAAAGATGTATGCATTATATCCATCCACTTCTTTGGTCAAACTATTCCAGTATTACGATGACAAAACATTTATCTCAGAACATGAAGTGTTACTCGTGTATGCCTTATCCATAAAAACAGGATAAATATTAAATGCCAGTTATCGCCTCTCAACCTCTTCCCAATTGTCAGTAAAGTGATGGAAGCAGTCATCAATAATGTCATCAAAAGTCATCAATGAAACTGATCACGTGCAGTTCAAGTTTCACCAGAATCATTTGGCTCTCTCATCACAGCTTTGATTATTACGTGGTACATAATTTCAAACTAGGTGGAAGGATAACTTTGGTGAAGCAGAAGTGCACAACATGCCCACTCCTGCACAGTCCCCTAGTCCTTCCATGATCAAGAGTCAGTCGGTAAATTAGTGGCCAACTGTTGGGAGTGCCGACAAATTTTGGCAGCAACATGGCAGGAACTCACCAGGAACAGCTATCTTTTTTTAAAGGGCCTGCAGCAGCACAGGACAATGGAGAGGCTACATCAGTAATGCATCATGCCCAGTGGCTGTCATTAAATATCTGCTGCAGACAGAGGGGGCCTACCACCATTCTTGCTAACCCCAGTCTTCCTGAGGCACTCACCATGACTGTTGAGTGTGCATTCAGATATTACAGTGCTGACTGAAAAAAGGCAATATAACTGCGAACCTGAAACATGATAAATGTGTAAATATGGATGATGATGACAGTTTCATGAAGATTCCTTGCATAGCCTCCTTTTGGCTATGACCAAACAAGGTAAGGTTATCCCCTCAGGAGATTGGAAGGTGATACACCTCAGCCTGACCAAGCAAGCCTGGATGGAGGTATTAAAGGAGGTCAGTAGCTGGGATCATCTGCAGAACATGCTATAGTGCCACAAAAGGGTGAATAGCCATGCCTGTACTGTAAGGGTGAATGAAGATCCTACCTACTGATGCAGGTGCACACTTACAGGAAGATATAATGTGCTGTGGATGAAAGGTGGGGTCACCAGGGGCATGAATGAATGGCTGCTGCATGCTCAGAAAGCCAACTCAAGGAGCCTCAAGAACTAACCAGGCTTTAAGGGGCTGAATGTGATGGTATGATAGAATAAATGCAACACAATGGAGAGAAGCCAGGGTTTGTGGGAATTACCCTGATATGTTGATCCCTCCAGGTATGAGGTTCATCTTTTGTCCCATTGTCTTCAT